ATTTTGTCATTCAGTCTCTCTCTCTCTCTATATAGAGAGAGAGAGAGAGAGAGAAAGAGAGAGAGAGAGAGAGAGAGAGAGAGAGAGCTGTCTCTTATACACATCTAGATGTGTATAAGAGACAGGTATGTTGGGGGGGAGGAGGAGGTGGTGGCGGTGCAGGAGAGGCTGGAGGAGGAGGAGGTGGCGGTGCAGGAGAGGCTGGAGGAGAAGGAGGTGGTCGCGTCAGGCGGAGAGGGTCGTGACAGAGGAAGGAGTAGGTCGCGTCAGGCAAAGGAGGAGATCGTGAAACGGGGAGATGGAGGTCGTGGGAGGGGGGGGAGAGGACGTCGGGAGGAGGAGGTCGTGGGAGGGGGGTAAGAAGACGTCGCGCGAGGGGGAGGAATCAACCAATCAATCAATCAAAGACCATGGTCTCTGTGGTAGGTGATTCCTGACGTATGCTGCATGTTTTATCAAGGCTTTTGAAGACTGTGAAAGAATCTTATTCTTTTCTTGTTTTTTTGGCTCGTATGTGTGGTGATGATGATGATGATTGATTGATGCTGATGGTGTGTGTGCGTGTGTGCGTGTGTGCGTGTGTGTGTGTGTGTGTGTGTGTGTTGTCATGTTTGCATACACAACCCCAAAAAAAAGCATTCCTGGGGCAGAGGATGAATTCGACTGATGGATAAGGGATCACCACGACACCGAGAGTTAGCGTTACCCTTGGGAGAGAAAAGTGATCGGCTTTACTCTCACCAATCCTGTAATCCTCGCACACACACACACATGCACCTGTCTCTTATACACATCTAGATGTGTATAAGAGACAGCCATTCGTCCTTCGCAACATCGCGAAACAAGGGAAAAAAAAAAAAAAAAAATCCTCTCTTTTTCCTATCTGCCACGTCATCGACAGCCAAGGAGACAGCTTCGCAGGTACAAACAGTCTTCCCCCAAATACAATGCACCCTGCTCATGAATGCATAAGAGCTATCTTTCGGTCCTTATACAGGCGCGGTGAGGGTGCGTTTCGGGAAAGATGGTGGCTTCGCCCCGCCTTCGATCTTATAGCATATCCGTCGCCTTATCCTTATCCCTATCCTTATAATGTTACACAAATATTAATATACATATATATATATACTCTATAAGCAAAGAGCGGGTCTCGCGTGACCGGTTTTTTTCCCTTCTTGTTTCGCGCCACGATGGAGGCAATTTTTTTTTATTTTTTATTTTTTATTTTTTATTTTTTTGCCGTTGTCGTTTTTCGTTGCGGCGGGTTTTCATTTGGGGCAGCTAAGCTTAAACTGTTTCTTTTTCACATCTAGATGTGTATAAGAGACAGGATATATAGTCAAACAGAGCTGTCCGGTAAACGGTTGGGTGAGACTCCGACGAAACAGTTTGTCACAGCCCCTCGTTTGTTGTCCTCTTCTC